CATACAGTCTGTGACACGCACTTTATGAGGAGCAATGGCAAGGTTCATGATTACTGTTACTGAGCCCATGGAAACAGAATTCTAGTTGCTCAAATTGGCACTCTGCATACATTCTATTAAGGTATTTTAAACAAACCAAAACCAAGAAGATTTTTTTGAGTAACATTATTGTTATTCATTCATTCATTCATTCATTCATTCATTATTGCTACAAGACGTTGCAAATAAACTTTTATGTTCTCAGGGTACGGACGGGTTAATGACACCAGTGCTGTCAGCATGAAAGATGAAACAAAAATGCAATTATATTTTCCGTTTCTGCATATGGGGTTATAAGAAGAGCTATGATCTAATTTGTTCTTACTGCCAATCTTGAGCTGAACTCAAGATCATTCAAAATGATGCTATGACCTAGCTATACTATGGACTAGTATGGCAATAACAACAGAAATCCCTGAGAAAATCATTGCAACCTTGGGTGACAAAAATAGAGAGAAGCCATGAACAACCTAATACCCAGAAGTGGCAGTTTAATAGCATGCTTCATTTCAGCCTGTAGCCAAAAAAATACAGACTCTAAAAGGAAATATCAGACTTTGAGGAGACCCTTTATAATTGCACAGGTTGGGTCTTGTCATTAGCCAATTTACTCTTCCTCAGATTTACAGCTCTGGGTGTAACAAAATCTTTGGCACTAGGTGCAGGCTTAAGAGATTTTTTTCACCCTTCAAATTAATTTATTTTGTACTCATTGGAAGTCAATTCAGTAGCACTTGCTGAGTCTTAGGCTTCTTTTTGCTGCTGAGAGCAGCCTTTTCGGGGTTTTACAACTCAACAAAACACTAAGCACGTGCTTAACATTAAACCTGTGCTGAAGTTTCCTCAAGGTAAATGGGATGCAAATGTTTGGTTGTTTTGCTTAATACGGATGATCTCTACACCTCTGAATGGTTCTGTTGCCAGCTGCCACTTACAACTTATAAAGAGATGTCAATTTTATAGGATATGGATTGGATCATTTTAAACTAATCCCCACAGAAAGAAAACAGTTCATTGAGAGGAGGAAAAATGCCTGATAATGCCACCTCCAAGTTGCTTGGATGAGTGGAAGAAAGTGGGAGAAAAGCCCAAGGTACTTTAGCTGATAGTGTAGCCACACAGCTTATATTTTACTTCCATAATCATTTTTAAAAACACAGCAAAATGAAGAGCACTGAGCACCTTGTGTTCCTGTCATAATGTATAACCTCTCAGTACTTCATGTACAATAATACCTCCATGAAAATCAAGCTGTATTACTTCTGCTTCTTTGTACAACACTTTGCATGACTAGGAGCAGCAAGTGACAACATGTTCTCCAGTAACCGAGATTGATTATTGGTGCTTCAGCACATCTATAGTCACAATCCATGCAGTACAGAGAGATGGAATTATTTTCATACACTGCCCTGATTGGTAGGAAAAACTTTTTTTCTAACTGAATTGAATATGTATAGGATGCATGCAATATGCTCTAGAGGAATGAGTATTGTGCTAGCTGTCAAGAGGTCTCTAGCTATACTCCTGCCTTGCGTGGCTCTGAGCAAGACGAGTCGTGCATGCTGACTGCATTTGCTACTCTTCAGTCACAGCGGTCACTGCCATAAAGAACGAAAATTTACCAGTGGTTACCACTCTGTAGTATCTGAGATACTATTGTTTTACTATTAACAATAGTGAGAATCTGAAAGAAGCATGAGAATTGAGTGTGGTACAGGGTGGAAAGTATGGCCATAGTAGGTCTGGATTTTATTTCAGTAACATTGGTTTTACAGCTGGTTAACTGTACTGACTTCAAAAGAATTGCTGCAGATTGTTACTAATGAAGTGACTGTGGAGTGTGGACCTCTGTATCTGCTTACAGCAACAAGAAACTGCAGATTCTTTAGTGGAAAAACTGGTTAGCAATTTTTTCTTTTCTTTTACAGTGTAATAGACAATACTTTTTTTTCATGCTGTTTCCAAAAATCTCAGAGGACTTCATATTTTAAAGAAGTCACTGTTATGCCATAAAATCCTGGAAGGTATAAAAATATCTGAGATATTAGCATTTGATTTTTGGTAACTGCACAGTTTGGTGAATAATGTAACTATTTTGAGGTTCAGGTGACTTTTCTAAATCAGAATCATCACATCCTGCTGGAGAAATGGAAACAAGGATTAATTTGCCTTTTCAAACAGGCACATCAATAGACTTTGCTATTCTCCCTGTACTGAGCAATACTGTCTAATTGTGGTATTACTGCAAAAGAAAAGTTTGTGCTACAGTAAATCTCATTTGATTGAATGGATAAACAGTACTTTGAGGTTGTGGAAACGGACAGTGCACTGTAAACTCCTGAAAGATTAAGGAGTGACTAATTATATACTTTTTAAGGCGAAATATGGTGACAAATAGCTCAGCAACAGAAAAAGCAGTAATACACCTATGCCACATTGAATTTTTCTGTATTAGGATTAA